CAGCTAGAACTCTCATGCATTGTTGGTGGGAGTGTAAAATGCTACAAATGCTTTGGAGAACTGTTTGTTTCTTGTAAAGTTAAACATAAATCTACCCCCATGACCTAGCAATTCCACTTCCAGGAATCCACCCAAGTGAAGTGAAAATATATGTCCACATAAAGACTTGTATATGAATGTTCCTAGTACTTATTCATAATGGTAAAAAGTGGAATAATCAGTGGGAGGATGGATAAACAATTTGTGGAAGAGTCATACATTGGAACACTACTCATCAATAAAAAGAACAAACTCCAAATTCATATAACAACAGGTGAGTCTTAAGAAACAGGATGTTGACCAAAGGAGGACAGATATAAAGGTAAATGTGATTCCATTTATATGAAGTCCAAGAAGAGGTAAGATTCTTCTATGGGAATAGAAAGCAGAAGAGTGCTTGCCTCTGAGTGAGGGTGGGAGATTGGGATTGTCTGGGAAGGGGCACAGGGAGCTCTGTGGGGTGAGGGCAGAGTTCAACATGTTCCGTTACTTAGGTGAATGTGATTGTCAAAACTCATCCAACTGAACATTCACGATCTGTACATTTTCTTGTATATAAATTTTGCCTGAATAACATATTTATTGAATACATTTTTTAAAGGTTATGGTTAGCTTTTTTTTTTTGCTGTTTCATAGTCTTAATTATTGGTATTCATCAAGGTTGTCATCTTTTGCAGCGCTACATGATGTAACATCTTAACTGTACATCAGGGGTTCTTGACCTGCAGTCCATTGATAGTTTTCAATGGATCCTTGAACCCCATGAAATTGGATGCACACTTTTGCATTTCTGCATGCATGTATTTTTCTTTTCCCTTGAGGAGCAAGTTCATAGCTATTACCATATTCTCCAAAGGGTCAGTGACCCAAAACATTTAAAACAGAACTTCTGTGTTAGGTGGCTCATGCAGAATGTATAGGAAACAATATCAGTAGTTAAAGATGAGTGAATGAATAAATGACAAACTGTTTCCAGTTGATGTTCAAGGAACCAAGCCTCTCATAGTTTACAGATTAAAAATGGCAGATGTCAGTGGCTCCATGAAACTAGCAAAAATTAGAGTAACCTTCTGGCCTGAGAAATAGAATAAAGCCCTGATAAGAACAGCAGGCAGAATCAGTGTACCATAGAAGAGCTTTCAATCGCATTTATAGAAAAAGATGCCTGTTATTCAAAAGTGTCGTATACTGTGTCTATTTTAAATATTGAAATTAGTTAGATGAACATCACAGAAGCAACAGTTTTGATTCAACTGTAAAAGAATTATTTAATGCTTTTCTCTTGACAGGAAAAACAATTACCATTGTGAATGCTATGAGAATTGTATCAGGTTCAGCTTTGCCAGTTTTTAACAAAAGGAGACAATTTTGATGTACTCAGTTATGGCAGTTTTCTTACACTGAGTTTTGAGAATTGATTATTCATTCCCAGTCCCCCATTGCAGGGAGACACTGCAGCATTAAATTGATAGGGCAGGTTTGTACCTGCTCCTTGAGATGTAAAGTTGCTCTGAGAACATCGGAGAACCCTGGCTTTCTTTTATGTGGTTATTGACAGGTTTCTGTGGTTTGTTTTGTCCACTATGTCTTGAGTGTGACATCGCCAGGCGCTATGGAGAGTGTCTTTGTTGGCCATTGTTACCTGGGTCCACCTTTGCACTGAGAATTGGCACCAGAGAGAGACATAAAATACGGGTAAGTGGATTTGAACGTATGTGTGAACCGTGAACCTGGATCTATATGATACCCTGGATGCCTTTCAAACCTGTGATTTTCCAAAAAAAAAAAGGTGTGGTTGAGGATGCTTAAAAGCACACACCTAGTGGAAGACTTTGGGAAAGGAAAGGGAAGAAGTTTCTGATTTCATTAGTTACTGGGATGTATGTTAACCAAAATGCCACATTTTGAAGGGTATTTCCTGGGGGGACCTATTATAATGCAGATTATTGGGCAATGGGCCACTTCTGATTCTCCGTCTCTTATTGCATCAAGAGAAAACACCAGATAGAATGCACCAAATTTGGAAGATACTTGGGATGGTCTGACTTAAAATGTAGCCTACGTGGCATATGCAGAATTCACTTTGGGGGTTTCTTGGGGACCCTTCAAAGAACCATAGAGTCAATTTCCAGTGCAGCTGAGACTGAGGTGCAATGAGAGATTGAGGACAGACAAGTCATACCTATTAAGATGAGGACAGTTAAAAAAAAAAAATCTCTCTCTATTCACGTGGAATGATTCCTAAGATGTATTTTTAAGTGACAAAAAAAGCAAGGCATAGAAGTAAGCACCATTTACATAAAAAGACTATATATGTCTATACTTGTATAGACATGGAGTTTATCTGGAAGTATATATAAGAAACTGCCAACAATGGTTGCCCCCAGGTAGGTAACTGGGTGGCTGGGGACAGTTATGGAAAGGGGATTTATTTTTTACTTCCTATACCTTCTTAAAGTGGGAATTTTGGATCATGTGCACTTATTACCCATTCCAAAGAAATAAATAAAATAATTATAAATATTAAGTCCTAAGAGAAAAAAAAAGATTTGATTTCAAGCATGAAGCCCTTATCAAAAGCCCTAAGGGCATGTCTCTGAATTGCAAGGATTGATTGGCAATTGAGCTGCTTCATCCCTGAGTAACCCAGTGGAGCTCTGTCCCTGGGCATGGACTGAGGGGTGCTGGTGGATCTTGGATGCACTGGATGGGATGGGCCATCAGGTAATATTGCACGGGTCCTTGGGTAATGAAAATGAGCCTGTGTGATTGCTCCAGAACAGAGATCCGGGTCTCACCCTAGGGCACCCTGTGCGAGGACTGGCTGGCAGTGCACTGCTGTTGGCTGTTTTCCATCTGTCAGGTGGCCCGGGAACTCAAAATGAGGACCTCCCAACTCTACGAAATCTATGCAGCCCCTTCGACTAAGGACACCTTTATTTGACAGAGCAAGGAAACTCCTCCTCCTCACTCTCCCAAGCCCTTCTCTCAAACTCCTCTTAGTAGACAGATTGTTCTTAAGTTTTCACTGAAATTGTATGAAAATAAACAATTGCCCCCTGCTATCTTTACCTGTGTTCTTTCTTTACACATGCCCCTGGCGAAGAAAGACTGTCATTTGTCTGGATTTTCTATTTCAGTTCAGCCATGCAAGGCAGATGCTAGAGGTGAGTTTTGTGCCCCCAACACCCTGCCTGGAATTCTGGAAGGTTGCATTTTTCCCCATCTTCCTACTGCCGTCCTTTCATGAGGGATGTCTGGGAAGCTGGAAGCATTGTTATATGGCTTTCTTATGCTAAGCCCCTTTTCCCACAGTACCAGTGATGCGCAGGAGATGGCTAATTTTAGTTAGTACTTGGACTGGGCCTTCAAGTCAATGAAACACAGAAGCATTGTCCTTCCCTTGTCCTGACTGCTTCAGGCCTGGATGCATAAAAGACAGAGTCTCCGGTTGCTGCTAACTGTGCACTTGCACATCTTCAGCTCCAGGCTCAGAGGCTTAGGTTGGCAACTGTTACAACTTGAATTGTGTACCCCCATCCCCCTAAAAGATATGTTAAAATCCTAATTCCTGGTATCTGTGAATGTCACTTTATTTAGAAACAGGCTCTTGCAGATGTAATTAAGTTAAGATGAGGTCATTAGGGTGGGACCTAATCCACTGTGACAGCTGCCCTTAAAGGAAGAGACACAGAGACAGAGACTCACAGAGGGAAGATGGCCGTATGTAGATGGAGGCAGAGATTGGACTGATGCTGCCACAAGCCAAGGAATGCCTGGGGCTGCTAGAAGCTGGAAGAGGCTAGGGAGGACCCTGCCCTAGAGGTTCTGGAGGGAGCATCCCCCTGCCAACTCTTGATTTTGGACTTCTGGCCTCCAGAGCCCAGAGAGAATAAGTCTCTGTGGTTTAAGCCACTCAGTTTGTGGTTCTCTGTCACAGCTGCCCTGGGATGCTAACACACCAACCATCTCCCACGCGACTGGAAGACTCTTGTTGTTCGGGCGGCAGCACAGAGCAGCGCTGAGGAGCCTGGCCTCTGAAGCCTGGACTTCCCTCTTCATTTACGAACTGTGTAACTACAGGCAAATTTGCTAATCTCTCTGTGCCTCAGTTTCCTCACCTGTAAAATGATAGTACCAACCTCATAGGGCTGTGAAGATTCTAATAAGACAGCACAGTGGCTGGCAGTTAGCAAGGACTCAGTACGCAGGAGCTATTATTACTCTTTTACTGTTCCTTATATTCACAGCAAATTATAGAATTTTCCATTTACAGTTGGGATATAAAGTTTTCCTTCAATTAAATTTTAGATTAAAATTGAGTTAATTAAAATAGGAATATTAAATAATGGTATAGATGGTTGGTGGATATGGTGAACATTGAGAAGGTGGTAAAACACTAATTTTATTGAGTACCTGTGTGTGCCAGGCACTGTTCAAAGCATTCTACATGTTTTAAAACATTTAATCCTTAAGATCCCTCAGGAAGGTGTCATCATATCGGCATTTTCCAGAAAGGGAAGCTGAACCACAGAGAGGTTACGTAACTTGCCCAAGGCCACACAGCTGGTAAGTGACAGGCAGTTGGGCTTTTGAGGCTGTGCTCCTAATCTCTGCACTAGGCAGCAGAGAAGGCTTCTGGCCAAGAGGCCTTCTTGGGCCCTCGTGGTTGTACAAACCAGAGTTTGCTCTAGGAGGTAAACTCATCTTGGTGAGCTTTGAGAGGAAGTGTCACTCACTCCTGCTCCCAGCCATCTCCACCAAAACTAAGCAACTAAGCAAGTCCCCTCCGGCAAAGTGATTCCTCTCCTCACGGCTCTCCCTCTGGATGTCCAGAGCCGCTGCCAGGAACCAAAGTCCTTTGGGAAAAATTAAGTGCTCAATGTTGACATTTAGTCTATGATAAAGTACCCCCTCTCCAAGCCAGCTCCTGAAAAAACCAGACTTGAGAGACAGCTCTGTTAAGTGAAAATAAACCTGCTTTATTGTTTCATGCTAAGACGCACATCGGGCTTCACAAGCTTACAGCTGGGAACAGTATGCGTTTTTGGCACAGGAGACTTGGGTAATCTCTCCACTTCCATATGATTGACCCTCCCAGCATGGAGAGCAGATGGTGTTTCACGCCCGGGTTACTGGCACAGTTCTCCTCCCGGCTCCTGGAAGAGGTGCGAGGGGACCGCTCCAGCGAGGAATCCCTTTTTTCCCTTTGCGTCTTCTCATCAGCCTGGACGGAAAAGGGCAAACTTAACACTTCATTAGAGCCTCAAGCCCCAGAAAAGGAAAACTCTCGGCTCTAAAAACATTGATTCCACCACTGAAGCACAGAACATAAAATGGGGAATTAATATGTGGATGGTTCTTTGAAAAGTGATGGTAGAGAGTGGTCCTGAAGCAAGGTGGCTGAGGGCCAGGACTTCTAGTTTCCTCTAGAATATGTCAAGTCCAAGAAAAAAGGAGCTAACAAAAATATGTGCTTTCTTCCCAGGAGAAAAGTTATATAACATCAAATATTTAAGTGAGACACAACAACTCTGATATTAAACTCCCCATTTCCTCAGACTTACAGAAAGCTGTCAGTGGTACAAATGTGAGAGTTACCCAACAGTGAAGGCATATTCTGTGTATTTTTCTTCTCACTAGAAAATTCCTTTTGGTTTAGAATTAGAAAATTCCACGCGAAGCATGGAACAGATTTCTGATGACTCCATGTGGGTAAACAGCACCAACACACATGTAACAGGCATTTCAAAGTAATCCACACAGATCATAAATTATAAAACCAGAAAACAAACACAACCCCCCAAAATCCCCTGGCTTTACAGTGGAATAGACTAAGGAAATAAGCTGCCAGCCCTGGAACTCTCTATTTTTTGGAACAAAGAAGTAAAAAGTTTGAAAGTCGTTAAGTGTCCACTGCCCTGTAAAATAATTTTTAAACATTTATATATTTTATATATCTAAGGTTTATTTATACAATAGTCCATAATGACTAACATATTATACCCTTTTTATAAACATTATTCACATACATATTACCTCATACAGATTCTCTTTTGGTCTATTAAAAACACTGTACTGAAAAAAAAACAAGCAAAGACACAAGAGTCTGTAGGTTTTCTGCTTATATTTCCATGGAGGAGTGAATTTTTCTCCCCTTCCATTTTCTCTTCCATCTTTTTTTCCCTAAACAATACCCCCTCCTCCTGACCCCACATGTAGTAAGAAGAGCGACAGTTCCAGGAGACGAAACTCAGACTTCATGGTCAGCAAACTATTCTAGGGTAGATTTCTGGGCTGACCTCGTTCTAATCATTCTAATTCATCCTTATGTGCCTCCCCACCACCTCTACCACTTTTGACCCATGATATTTGGAATCTATATGTTGGAACTGACAGTCCAGAAATGAAAACTTAGGAGATGGGGAGCTTTTTCTAAGCTTCTTGGCTGGCTGGGAACAAATTGGATTCTTCATTTTGTGTTTTAAGAAAATATTTGGTTGATTGGCTAAGCAGGTTCAAAGGAAAAGCTAAATCTCTATGAAATCCTCCACTATAAGCCATGGAAAGTTCCCAGAGACTTAAAAAACAGCAAGTGGAAAAATTAGGAGTGGTGGTTTCCTGTTGCTCTAAATGTGAGGAGGGGGAAGCCAATAGAAGAAGAAAATCGAGCGAGAGGGCCTTGAAGACAAGGCTGTAATTAGCCAATGTGATCTAATGGTTTCTGGGGATTAAAAGTTATGTTGTTCCCCCCAGTTTATACAACTTGCTTTTGTGTGGGCAGTTTGCCCATACTTAACCTTTTCATACATCATTGATAGAAGTAAAATTCCTTCTAACTCTGACATTCTATGACTTTGCCCTGGAAAATAAAGTCATGGAAACCTATTTATGGGTAGGCTGTAAGGCCTCATGGTAGTAACAAGTAGATTCCAGACTCTGAAGGCAGCATCTCTATATTCATTGCTGCTGAGGCTAAAGAGGAGCCAAGCAAACCTGAATTTATCCTAGAAGAAATGGAACCAACATTTAGTCACAGCAGTTCAGAGACAACGGGTGACCGACAATTGGCAGCACCATCATTGACCATGTGTGAGAAGGAGATGTCATCACTGAATTATCCTTTTGGTGGTCTCATCATACCTCTTGCCTTCCCACTCACCACTTGGCAGATAAAGCCAATACTTCGGGGCTTCTTGTTGCTTATTATCACCTTCCCCTTGGGTTAACTAAGAGAAGACTGTGATTAACAAGTCCAAGTTATTCATCCCATTGAGAGATGAGTGCTAGTTTGAATCTTCATGTGACAGTTTCACATAGAAGAAAACATTTGTGTAACCACAAAATACAATCCTTGCTCTGCTCATAGTTTAGCTGATGCTTGCTCCTGCTTATAAGCAGGACTGGATGAGAGACTGAGGATGCTTCAGTGCAAAATTATAATCCTGAACTTTAAAACAACTAACGTATCCAAATAACGATGCATTCTTTCATTGTCTTTGATAATCAGTGCAGCATGTGCTTTTAAAAATGAAATTCTTATTGATGTCTTAAGATAAGCTAGAAGATGAAAATGTATGGCTCAAAGAGTCTCAGGGTATTTCTGAATTTCATTTATCTGTGCAATGTGTCTCTCTCTGTTTAGCACAGATAATGTAAAATTTGCCTTTTAAATTAGTTTTTTCAAACCAGGGGTAGACTATCTTCTAATGACTTGTCCTTTAAGAGGACTTATTTCTGAACAAAAAGGAATGCATATTGTAACTAATTTTTATATTTTTGGACTTGAAATAGCCTCTCTGTAAGCATTGCCGTCTGTGGTGTCTCTCTTATAACGCCACGGATTCTTCTTGTCTGAGATTCTTTATGTGCCAGGTCCTTATTTCCTTGATCAGTATGTTCTAAGAGAAACCCGCTGGATCAGAAGGTGTTGGGGGGAGAAACAGGATGGAACTGGAATGGAAAAGGATGAGGATGTGGCGGAGGGATGCAAGATGCCTGGTTGGGAGTCAGGGAGTGGGTGAAGGCTAGGGACATTGTGAAGAACACCCAGGAGAAGAATATTATGCCATCCCCTGCATGGCTCTAAATCTGAGCTGGACAGACAGGCCAGTCACAGAGCTGGAAGGTGTTTGATGTCCAAGTTTTTCATTTGTTAGTTAGGTGCCAAAGTGAGAGAAATTGGCAAGATAAAGTTTGGCTTTGACAACAGAATGGAATTAGAGGATGGACGGGAGTCTTGTGTAACCTGTAACAGCACATGACTCATTTGCTTTTCTCCATCCTGACCTACCACCCATTGACTCTATGGGTAAAGACAGACTTGCTCTTTCTCCTATTACTCTCTGTCTTGGAAGCCAGCCTACTGGTATTCCTGTATCATCCCTGATGTCCGAGGAATATCTTATGGTCCACAGCTCTCCATTGAGCAGTTTCCATTCAAACAGATCATTTGTTCTCTTCAGTGTCCCAGTTGTTGCTGGCTCCTCCTCGGAAGATTACCAAGGCAGGGTCTGTGAAGGTGAAAAAGATTTCAGAATCTATTGTATGTGAATGCAGCCTGCGAAGAACTATAGTTCTTTAAAGTTCTTAAGCCTTTTGGACAGGAATTTATCTTTTCACAGAAGAGACGTCGCGTCCTCAGTTCATCTTAGCAAGAGGCACATAGACTCTATTTCCCCATTACTGGTGATGCAAACTTGGTCTTTTGGTTAAGATGGCTGTCTACCAGGTTTCTCCACTATAAAGCTGCTATTTTCCCCTTGTGTTAATAAGTATCTTGTGAGGAGCTACTCTGAGCTCTTCAAGCTTTCACCCACTAGTTTTAATATCCATTGATGATTCTTGCCTGAACCAGTTGTTACTGTAGTGGTTGCCAAATGGTGACTTCTAAAAATTCTTCTTTCCTTTTACATTTAGTAGTTGGCACACTACTGTAAGGAAGAGCTCTTCCTTCTCCCCTATTTATTTATTTATTTATTTATTTATTTATCTAGTATGGAGCCAGGGATTCCTATTTGATGCTAAAGATCATTATCCGTTACTGCCAAAAATGAATAATCTGAATCTTATGATGAAGAAATATCAGACAAACCCCAATCGAGAGACATTCCATAAACTTAATGGCCTATATCCTTCAAAATACCAAGGTCATAGAAGGCAATGGATCTTGAGGAACTGTTCCAGATTAAAACAAACTAAAGAGATATGACAATTAAATGCAATATGTGGTCCTAGATAAAGCTAAAAATTTTTTTTCTATAAAGGAAAAGAGTAAGACAATTGAAAAAATAGTAAGGCAATTGAATAAAATCTGCAGATTAGTTAATAGTACTATATCAATGTTAACTTCCTGATTTTGGTAAGTGTATTATGCTTCTGTAAGAGCACATCCTTATTTTTAGGAAGTACATACTGAAATGTTTAGAGATAAATGGGCATTTGATCTTCAACTTATTCTCAAATGGTTAAGAAAAATTATATCTATAATTTATATTAAAATTTTATTTACTATTTAATTAATATTTATATATATATATAAAAGAGTGAGAATCAAAACAAACATAATAAAATGTTAATATTGAGAGAACCTAGCTCTGAGAAGTGTATAGGAATTCTTCGTACTGTTTTAGCAACATTTCTCTAAGTCTAAAATTATTTCAAAAGTAAAAAGTTAAAATCCATGAGCCCCCAGAATTTCTCCAAGGCCTCTATGGTTTATTTTGATTACTAAATTCAACGTGTCAACCTGCATCCTTATCATCCCCACATGTGTAACCAATGTCCTCCTCTCCCTGCCCAGCTCTTGGCCCCTGGTCTCTTCCTAAGGCTGAGAATGTTCAGAAGGACGTGCAGCCAACACCTCGGGCTGCCCCTCGTCCAGGTGAGGGCAGGCCGTTTGAATGGGCATCCCAGGAGTCGCTGCTCTCTATGACTTTGCAGCTAGTACTTGGCTCTTGGCCCTTCTGAGTAAAAATAAAGTCCCCACTGACCATGCTGAAGGGGGACAGGAGAAAGTGAAAAGATGATGGGAAATGGTCCAATAACATTTAGAAAGACCTGCCTTCTAAAACATGCAGCCTCAGGGTTTGTCCACAAGCGAGTGCTCATGAAAATCCAGTAAAAGAGGAAATGAGTCTAAGGGGGAGTTTTTCATCTCCTGCCCAATTTCTTTCCTCTGGAGCCTGATTTCTATTCGAGCACTCATGCTGATTTAACAGACCAGTTTTCTCCTTGGGGAAACTTTAATGATGACCACAGCCTCATTCTTTGTGGGATGGCGTGGGACAGATCTTGCAAGCAAAGTTTATGAGAAACACTGATTTTGGGAGTCTTACCCAAACCTGCACTCTCCAAAAGCAGAACTGTGAACCATGGTTACAGAGACTGAGTGAAGAGAAGAAGCCTGAGCTTTCAAACAGGCAGCCACATTTGGGCTCAAAACTGAGCTTCTCAAAGCTCTTGGAGCCTGCAAATGCGATGCAGCATTTACTCATTTGCTGACGTGCTCCACTTGGCACAAGAGCAAGGAAGTGCTGTCAGAGGCTCCAGGTGGCTGCTTTACATTCAGCAGGAGAAGCAGGCATGAATACAAAGTCTATGATCACTAGGATGCATTCCACATCCCCCTATGTCAATAAGTTACACAGGATTTGGAATTGTGCTGTCTTCACTACAAGCCACCAAATGTGGGCAGGAGCTTCATCCTTATGACTTTTAGCCCTTAGAAGGGAAGGCACCTGTGTTAGACATAGCCTGCTTCTCTTCCCTGTGCCTACACGGGGCATGTGCCTTTGGAGATGTTAATATCAATGTCAACCTGTTAATATCACACTGGGCCCCAAAATGGCCACTGTGATCTGCAGGTCAGGCCTGGTGTCAGCAGCTGGGAGATTGAAGGTGAGGTTATTTGAGATTACTGCACCTGGACCCCAAGGCAGCAGTGTTTTATTTACTCTTTAACTACATTTATTGTGATGTAGCATTTCTGAGAGTGAGTGCAGGGACAGGGAAATAATAGGGAAGTAACTGCCAGGGGAAGGCTGGCTGCTGCGTTAATCTGACCTTCCAGGTTCTGCTAAACGATGGAGAAAGAACTTCAACTCTCTGCTCCACTGACATTTTAATAGGCAACCGAGAATCCCATCAATGGTAGGACGTGCACATTTACCTGTGGCTGGCCCTGTGCAGGGCTGGGTAGCAGCCCTTATTAGTGCTGTGTCTACAGGCCAGGGGTTTCAGGATCAGGCAGGTAATAACTCCTTGTTTACTGAGTGCTCAGAAGACAAATCTATTGGAAGTAGAAAACCCTGAGGTCTGCAGGAAAGCTTTTGCCTCTCATCTTAAACGAGGTGGCAGGTGGTTAGCAGCACAGACTGGAATCAGATTGCCTGGGTTTCTCCCCAAACACCACCAATTCCTAGCTGTGTGACCCCATGGAAATTATTTAATCTCTCTAGGCCTTAGTTTCTTCGTCTGTAAAATGATGATAGTAATAGTGTTTACTTTGTGTGGTTGTGATGAGATTTTTAAATTGGTCCATATAAGTAAAGAGCATTGAACAGTGTCTGGCACACAGCCGGTGTTCTGTAATTGTTGGCTCAAAAGTATTATTATGAATCAAGAGACTTCTTGAAGGCTATTTATTGTGATCCTGTTTCTTGGTTATCTCAAAGAATGGAAAGGTGGATACAGATCATTAAATTGGTTCATTGTCACGCTCATTACTTTTGCCTTAAAAACCTAAGTCTCAGTTTCTTAAGTTGAGGTCTTAAAATGTTACATCCTAATCTACAAAATGAGGATAATAATAGCTCAGTATTTACTTTATATGATTGTTGTGAGATGGCCTCTATTATTCTTCCCATTATATAGATGAGAAAATTGAGACTCAGAGAGGTGAAATGACTTGCCCAGAGTCATACAGTGAGTCACACTTGAGATACAACTCAGGTGTTCCAATGCTATAGTCTGGGCTCTTAACTGGTGTGCCAGAGAGAGGTGAGGGGAAGATGGGGGTGGGGCAGAAGGAGGAGAAGAAGGACCGTGTGGGAGAAAGACACTCACAACTAATAATAAGTATTTTTGGAATGAGTAAGTGGGCGTGGAAATTCAATAAATATATCCTAATGATAACAAAGCAGATGACATTTCATGCCTTGTCTACACAATTCCAAACAATGATTTTGACTGCTTAAAAAATATGACAGATTGCTTTTTGCTTGCTGCATAGTCTTTGCTTTAACGAGCTATGACGGCCAATCCATTTGGAAGGTGAGTTTTGCAGATCCCACAGCCCTGGAATGCTAGTGCTAAGCCAAGCGCCTTGTTTTAGAGGTGGGAAACCAGGCTGGAGAAAAGGGAAGTAACTTGCCTCTGTGCTTGTGGCATCTCCCACAAGTTCATCCTTCCTATGAAAGTCCTTCTTGGCAAGAAAAAAGAGGATTCATCTATTTTTCAGTTATTCATTCAACACATATTTATTATACGATCAAAAATGTCTGATGAATGAATTTCCTTGACATATTGAGTTTGTTCCCGTTCACTTTGCCATGCTGTGTGTCTGGTTCCTTCTTAGTCTTCAAACCTCAGTTCAAATGTCACCACCTTGGAGAAACCTTTCCTGGCTGCTGTACCTAATGTAGTTTCTACCCCTCAGCTGTTGTCTGTCTCATCACTTTGTTTCCTTATAATATCTGTCATATAGAAAGATCCTGCACGTTTGTTTACCATTTACTCCCCTTCACGAGTTCAGGGACCTTACTTGCATTGTTCATTGCTGTATCCCAACTGTACGGAATAAAACCTGGCACACAGTAGAAGCTCAGTCAATATTTGTTGAATGAAAATGTATGAATAAATGAATGAGGGGACATTGATTTTTACTCAGGAAGAAAACATTCTGTGACTTTAAATGGAGATGGAGTGAGAGCAGGGATGTTGGCCTGGGGCCCCTTGGTCATCATGGGGTGTCCAGCAGGGGTTTAACTAATCAGCACATGCATTTTCTGAATTACAAACTATGCCAGGGACATTTAATTTCTGTTATTTGGCACCAAAGAGGAGGGGTTGTTATCGAAATCACCAGCCAGCTGGAAGCATGGCCGTGTCAGACCTATTTGCAAATCAGAAAGGACATTTCATAAAACCTGTCAACCTTGGGAAGCTGCAAGTCCACAGAGGGGCAGCACCAGTGTGCTCACGGGCTGCATTCAGGGTCACAGACAACCCTAAACCTTAAACCTTCAACAGACGAGGAGGTGCAGTGGTGGAAATGACCAGAAGGGAAAAGACCAACAAGGGTTTAGACAAAGGATGCATTTAAAAATAATCGTCATGTTGCCTCAATCCTAGCGCCATTTACCAGTTTGTCTGAAAGACCATGAGAGCCAAGCAGCTTAGATTTCTAGTCTTACAGAGCCAGCCCCACTGCTTCCTTACTGTGACCTTAGACAGATGACTTATCCTCTGAGCCTCAGTTGTTTGACCTATGAATAGGAGACAATAACAACTC